AGGTATCTATTCGTTATGCAGATCATGAATCCAGAGACGCGTCAACACGTTAAGCGTGCCCGGCGTACGCTGTCGCCACCGAAGGGGGAGGTGCCGGAGCCCTGGCCAGGAACCGATTTTAGCATGGAGACGGACGCTGGGAAAGCTCTGTTGGGAAGCCCTGTTGGGCGATGGGCTGGCTACTTCCTTATGCAGCATAAGAGGCGGTTGGGAGGTAACAAGTCCATCTCCAAGGTGAGAGTGTTCAAGGGGATGGAAGACGAGAACTGGCCGTATTTCCTGTTTTACGTTGCTGGTACCACGGCGTCTGCAGCGAGCGAAGAGGAAATTGCGGAGGGTGTTGATGTATACAATGAGACCCGGGTAGTGCGAAGAAGTGAAGATGGAAAACAAGTTGTTCGGGAGCATGTTCTAAGGATGACGCTGCCCAGGTAGTGTTTTGTTGTTCCTTCCATTCATGACACCGGACCTTTTGTCAATCTGACACTTTGGATACTGGAAAAGAGAGAGTATATAGAATGCAATACCATATCTAGAGAACTAAGGAAGTCTGGCAAACCCAAATCTTGAGTGTGTCCGTCTTCCCCAAGGCTGACTAACCCCCATCGGCCCCATCCGCGGCGGAACCTCCGATGCGCAAAGCTTCAAGTACGTCAATCCAGACAAAAACTACAGCCCGCACTTGCAACCAGCCACGACCCTCTCCGTCCTCCACCCGCATAACCTCAGAATACACGTCGGCGCCGTCTCGCGACTACACATACACACAAAGAAGAAAAGATGGACTCCCTAGGTGGTGGCGGTTTCGGCAATGCCGACTTGAGCAAGCTGTCCGACCGCGACAAGCAGGAACTGCAGCAATTCGCTATGAATGAGGGACAGAAGGCTAGGATTCAATCTTGTACGTCTTTTTATCCCTTTAAAAGCTCTCTTGCGACGAATTGAGTCTATGCACTTTGCCTCTACCACCTCCCTCTGTGGATACAAACGCCCTCGACCATCACACCCTCCACCCAAAGCCCTTCCTTCCCGCCTTCCCATGTCCCACTCCCATAAGTACCCATTCGCTAACTCAACTCCTCCAAATAGCGATACACTCCCTCACCGACACATGTTTCCGCAAATGCATCCCCGCGGGCACCGTAAAGGCGGGCAAATTGGACAAGTACGAGGAGCCGTGCATGCGGCAGTGTGTGGATCGGTTCTTGGATGCGAATATGGTTGTGCTGAGGGAGTTGGAGAGGTTGAGGGGATAGATGGGGTACAAGAGAAGAGAGGGGAGGGGTGAGACGGGAGTGTATGATAATGAGACTTGATGATCTGTACAACACTGCATGGCGGGAAGCGTTGGGTGCATGTCATTGGTAACGGAGATATGAGGTACATGGTGGACGTTGCTGAGTCCAGCATTGCATTGATCTCTCCTACCGAGCAAACTTCCATGGTTATTCGAATCTTTCTGTAATCGAAAGATCAAGCTATGTTGCATGTCCAGGAATCACAATTCAGGAAAGAACGATGTCACAGCACGGAAATGTAAAACTTGTTGAGGACCAAGTCCAACTTGGCGTCATGTGGAAATCTGATTCATTCGAGTCACCGTGACTACGTTTATCCCATGAACGCCCGCCATGCATATCACATCGCTTTTTCCATTGCCGGGTATAACCAGACCCTATCATGACCATGCCTTCCCTTATACAGAGACCACCTCTTTAAACGATGGCGAGCTTGGTGGCCGCAATGTCGAGAGCGTCGACATCGGCGGTAAGGCGGCAGAAAGCCTTCTTTGAGCCGTCGGGGCGGATCAGGGTGTTGATCTTGACGCAGCTGACGTCGTACTGCTTCTTGAGGGCGGCGGCGATTTGGCGCTTGTTGGCCTTGACGTTGCAGATGAAGACGAGGGTGTTGTTCTCCTCAATCTTCTTCATGGCCGACTCGGTGTTGAGAGGGTGGATGAGAACCTTCTCGGCGTCCATGCGGGGGGCATGGGGGACCGACTTGCGAGGGTACTTGCCGGCGCGGGACAGCTCGAGGGTCTTGGGGCTGCGACGCGTTAGCAGGCAACATCTCGCAGTCTTGGAGTCGGGCATACCGGTGGAAGCTGGTGTTCTTCCTGATCGCGCGCTTCTTGTTCGCATACGACTGTCATCTCGTTAATTGTGCCCATCACACGAGAAGTACAGCCCGTCAGAGGTATGTTTCTGACACGACTCAAGAGGATCAAGGGAGGCTTACGCCGCGGAGGGCCGCTTTGGCAGCAGCATTGGCCTGCTTGCCAGTCTTGGTAGGGGCTGTCAATAATGTTAGCGATGAGCGCAATGGGAGGGTCGCTGATCGAGGCGCATTCGCAAAGTTCCCTTTTTCCACAGGCTGCTGCCGCGGTCCGGTGCCACTTTGCGACATTTATGCTCGTCCTCGATTTCGCGGTTGCGGTGTTTGCGTTGACGTACTCTTGGATACGGCCTTGGGTCCCATTTTGGCGGTTGTGGTGGTCCTGGAGTTAGTGTCGAGAGTCGCAATCGAAAAGTTGTGGTTTTTGCTCCGGCTACAAGTCGAGTGTGGGAAGAAAGCACGCTAACACGCTAGCGCCAAATCCTTGCATCTGAGCTCTCGGCGTCGCTCATCCATCACCTTACCTCAGCCATGTGACTGCAACATCAAAATCGTCATGGCCGTCAAAAAGCGCCAAAAGACTCTGTCGCATGGTCGACCACCCGTCAGCAAGCCAAAAGAGCGGATGACATCGGAGCGCTCCAGGACTATCATTCGCACCCATCACCGACTACAAAAGGAGCATGCAGCAGCCTTGAAGAAAGGGGATGTGAGCTCGGCAGAAGAGATCGCGCGAGCTATCGAAAAGAATGGAGGCATCAAGATGTATCAGGCTGCAAGCAAGCAAGGTCAGGCGAAAGACAGGGGTGGTGATTCTAGCAAGCTGTTAGTCGACTGGCTCCAGCAATCCAAGGTTTTGGACCCCAAAGCACGGGATCGTCGTAGGGCTGGCGACGCCGAACTCAGATGTCTCGAAGTTGGAGCTTTGTCAACCAAGAACGAGATCTCCAAGTACGCAAGCGTCATCGACATGACGAGGATCGATCTGAACAGTCAAGGGCCAGGCATCGAAAAGCAGGATTTCATGGAGCGAACACTTCCTACATGCGACGATGAGCGCTTCGATATTATCTCCCTATCTCTCGTACTCAACTATGTTCCGGATGCAGTTGGTCGAGGCGAGATGCTCAAACGCATCACTAAGTTCTTGAGAAAGGGCGTTGCATGGACGGAGGCGGCCCATTCTGTGTTGCCAGCTCTATTCTTTGTTCTACCTCTACCGTGCGTCGACAACTCACGCTATCTCGACGAAGATCTGTTTCTGGGAATCATGGGCGATCTAGGTTTTACGATGAGATTCAGCAAAAACACTTCAAAGCTGTGCTACTACTTGTTTACCTTGACAAATGAGCCCAAGGCTAGGACGGCCGAGAAAAGGAAGATCCGAGATGGACCGGGAATGAACAACTTCTGCATCGTTGTGGAATGAACGTCCAGATGACGGCAGCCTGTCATTAGTTGCTAGATTACGCCGTCCACAACTTTACTCGGCGACCAAGCAAGGCGAGAACGCGCTCAAGCGCAATTGGTTCATCATACAGGTCACAGATGACCAGGAAGATACTACTCTCGTATTATTTGGGAAGACCAAGATGTCGCGACATCGCAGCGGTTCTGGTTGGCATGGCCCTGGTCCAAGCGGAGACTTCGACGTGTGTGCTTTCACCGCGACTACGACAATTCTGGCTACACCCGAATGCAAGCGATTTCTCAGCGAACAATCTCTCTAGAAGGAGCCGATATTTAGATTGATAGTAGGAGTATCACCGACGCCATCGCGGGGCTGTTGTTGTATGCTCTAGCCTGTTGTACTTGTATGGGGAAGACTTCGGATCCACATCTACGCATCCTTACTTCCGTTTATGGACTCACAGTTCTGATATGGTCAACAGTCTACGGATCGGGTTCCATCTAGGCGCAACGTGGAGAATGCGGGATCATGTAGCAGGTTCGTCGACGATGTTGCGGGCGTCTACCGAGTCAACAATATCCACCGGACCATCACCGGACTACGCTCGGTATTTCGTGTAATATATACACTGGTTCTAGACTCACTAGTAGTTACCACGCGACTGTACTACACGGCCGACAAAGTCCCGAAGTGCCACAAATCGGTTTCCTTGAAACGCTTTGGTTCCCGAATTAGTATCGCATAGCCACACAACACGCTCGCGGCGTTACTGCTAAACTACGCATCATGCTGCGACTGCGAAACAAGCAGTTGTACAACGTCGCTTGCGGTGTTCTACTTTCAAAATCCGGTTCCCGGCAGCGAATTTCAAAAACTGCGTGTTCCCGTCTTCTCATCTCACGCATGTTTGATCGCCTTTTAGCGCATCCTACGCCTTAGCGCCACACGACTCACAATGCCCCCAACTCATCATACCAAGCATTGACACAAGCATTTTCTGAAACGGACTCTGACTTGCTCAACCCCAAACTCCCGTCAATCAACGGATGCATATCACTGGGGCTGGACTAGAAAAAGGCGAGAAGCGCGTGGGTACCTGGCCGGCATTTTCCCGCTACGTTCGGTGGGTCGAGACAACGGAATTGGTGATCAAGAGATGAGCTTATTCGCATTCCTCCCGAGCGCAAATTTCCACATGTTAGTTTACTGCGTGGCGCTGCGTTGGGTTAGTCAAGTAAAATGAGATGTAAGCGTTGTTCGAGGCCTTTATGTAGGGCGGGGACGCCCTTTCGTAGAGCTTCAAGCTTCTGGTAACTCTCTCAACACGAAGTCGAACTTCCATCTTTTTTTGCAAGCCGCTGAGCTGCTGCCATTCATTACTTGGACTCGTTGATACGATCCTACACAGTCTTTTCCAACAAGTCGTCGTTCGAATTCCATCTTCCGTCACTCCATCAAACAATCATCAGACACCATGAAGTCCACCTTCTTCTCTCTTCTCCCCATCGCGGGTCTCGCTGTTGCTGAGTCCGTCTGCTCCCAGCAGACTGTCACCACAACTGCAACTGAAACAGTGTACGAGACTGCAAAGCCCGTGGATGTCGCCGACGCCACCGCTAGCAAGTCTGGCGCTTGCTCATCCAGGAGCACTGTCTACACTACCACCTACGAGAAGGTTTATGTCACTGTCACCCCCGGTGCTGGCTCTGCTACTCCCGACGCTGTCGAAGATGTCACATCCACCAGCACCAAGGAGATCCTCACCACCGTCACCGTTCGCCCAACCGGTGCTCCTTATGGCAACGCCACTACCTCTGCTCTCTTCAAGCCTGCAGGATCTTCCGGCTCGCCCTCATACCCTACCATGAGCGTTCTCCCGACCACCAAGCTAGACTACAGCTCGCTTGCCTACACTCCCATTCCCCAGAGTGAAGCATCAAAGTCCTACGCTGCCGCGCAGTCATCCAGCGCTGCCGCAGTGCCTGCCTCCGAGTCCAAGGCTCCAGCTCCTGCCGCATCTCAAGCCGCGACTCCCGCTGACAAGGCTGCCGTCTCATCTGCCGCCTCCAAGCGCGGCGAAGCCACTTTCTACGGCGGAAACACCGAAGGCGGAATGTGCTCTTTCGTCGGCTACACCATCCCCGCCGGTCTCTACGGCACCGCGCTCTCCGACTCCAACTGGGACAACGGCAACGCCTGCGGTGTGTGCGTCAGCGTAACCGGCCCCAACGGTAACAAAATCACCGCCATGGTCACCGACCAATGCCCAGGGTAAGCAACCTCCCTTGACAAATTCCCACAATGAACACACACTAACCCCACCCCACAGCTGCGGCCCCAACCACCTCGACCTCTACCCCGACGGCTTCGCCAAACTGGCAGAACCCTCCAAGGGCATAATCAACGTCGACTGGACCCCCGTCCCCTGCGGCATCACCACCCCCATCGTCCTCAAGAACAAATCCGGCACCTCCAAATTCTGGTTCAGCATGCAAGTCATGAACTCCAACGTCGCCGTCTCCAAACTCGAAGTCTCCACCGACTCTGGCAAGACCTGGCAGCCGACTACGCGTAAGCCGTACAACTTCTTCGAGAACCCGGCTGGGTTTGGCGCGGATAGCGTCGATGTTAAGATTACGAGTGAGGGCGGTAAGGAGATTGTGGTCAAGGGCGTTAGTATTGCGGCGGATAGTAAGAAGACTGCTGGTGGCAACTTTGCTTAGAGTGCTGTGAGACTGGGAGAAAGGGAGGAAGGAGAGGGGTTTGGTTGATGGGCTTGGGGTTTTTTGATGATGGATGATTCTTTTTGATTTAAGCGATACCCTTCTTGATGCCTTGTTAATTCGCTTCTAAATATCTTTCGTGGTACATATCTTTTTGTTTGCAGCGTGGACTGCCATTGCTGTCTGAATGAATAAAGCAGTGTCATCATTCAACTTATGAAGTGTTTGTGTGCTATGTTGTGCCTAAGTCTTGTCCAAGTTGTGTTTCGTCGAAGCTAAGGAGCGACATTACACAGCCGCGTCTGTGCAGTTGGAGGCTGGCATACTTTATCTCAACTTCGCACTGACGCGACGCCAACGGGATCGCTGTTTGTGCATGTCCAAAGATACGCCAGATGCGGCGTGAGCCACAGTAGCCCTTCACACATGCCTCGATTGTCGTTAGTCGGTCACGTATTGATGAGATTGATAGACTCCACAGCACTATCACATCATCACTGTACATATCTTAGCAATACTAGCATGAAGAAGATTCTAGGTTCCGTATTGAGAGTAGAAAAGATCTATCATAGGAAAAGACCAACCGGACTCCACCCATGCTTGACATTCATTCGTGCGTAACATCCCTTTCGCAATCCCTTCATTCCAAAGTAAGTTCCCCGTGCTTTCGTTACCATTACCAATCATCAGGTCGTAAGGAGGGTATCGAAATGCGCTAGACATATCCCGTCGATGGTTTCATCTTCGCTCACTCGTTAGAGGTGTTTCATCGTTTCAAGGCGTGCGAGGGTTCTTCGCGAGTTTGCTCAGGGCGCCGAGAAGACCTGCGGGATGTGTTAGTGGAGTCTTGTTGAAAATTCAAGAATGCGAACTTACCGGTTGCGCCGTTGGGCAATGTCGACATGGCGATTGAGTTGCGATCACCGACGGTGACGGTCTGAACATTGGGAACCTTCCATTCCTCCTTCAGCTGCTCTGCCCAGCGGAACACACCCTCGTCACTTCGGTCGTTTCCAGCCGCGAACACAAAGTCAGGTCGTCCCTTCTCAGGGTACTTGCTGAAGATGTATTGTGAAGCAGAAGCCTTGTCAAAGTCGATTGGCTCGATGACGACTGAGTCCTTGGTGGGAACCGCCTTTATGCGCTGCTGCTCGCATGCATCGTTAATGTGGTTGGCGCAGTCACCAGCATGCCGGCTTGCGGAATCATCCTTGTCGTTGGGCGCTCTGTAGTGGAAGATCATGGAGCAGTGGCGCTCTTCAACCCAACTACCCTCGACACGCTCGAGGTAGTACTGCAAGATGGGTTTGACGGAGTCTTTCCACTTCACAGTCTTCTCTTCGTCGGGGAATTGTATCCACTCTTTCGCGCTGGGCTCGCGCAAGAAGCAACCATTCTCCGCGATGAGACCGAGACCTCGCACGCGGTTAAAGATGAGCTCAGTCTCTCGAACAGTACGTCCAGTCATGACGTAAACATCATTCTTGTCATCAGCAACAAGGTCGTTCAGCACGACAATGACACGCTCGGTGTTCGCCAGGACGGTGTTGTTAACAGATCCGTAGGATGCGAGGGTGCCTTCGTAGTCGAGTACAAAGAGTCGTCGCTGAGATGCCTGGTAGGTACGCGCAAGATTGCTGGACGAAAGACGGGGAATGGACATGGTGTCGCGCTTGAACTGCTCCTCGTGGACCTTTGAGAGATGGCAGCTGAGGTTGTTAACCCAGAAGTCGCCAGTCTGGTGCATAACCGTATCGCGCAACTTGGTATATCTGCGTTCCTTTTCGGAATCAGTCATCTCCAAGGCGACCTTGAACGCTTGTGCGATGCTGTTGTAGTCCCAGGGGTTCACAGCCAGGTCGGCACCTTGGAAGACTGAAGCACTTCCGGTGAACTCACTGAGGATAACAGGACCGTGCTTCTTTGGACTCGCGCGACCATCCTGGCAGATGACGAATTCGTGGCAAGTAAGGTTCATGCCTTCACGAAGACTGGTAATTGCGAGGGCATCGGCAATGGAAAGAAGCGCGAGATATTGCGAGAATGCGATATCCTGCCTCAGGAAAACGAGAGGGTTGTGCGTCAAGGTTGAATGAACCGCGTCGATACGAGTGACGATCTCGGAGACGGTTGCAGCGAGTTCGGTGTCTTCGGTGGTAGATGTGGCGACTTGAATCATAACAACCTTGTCTTTCCACTCGGGGTTCTTGTTGAGGAACAACTCGAACGCTAACAGCTTCTGCCTGACACCACGGATGTTGTCGAGCTTGTCGCGAGCAACGATGACCTTCTTGCCCTCGTACCGCTTCTGCATGGTCTGAATCCACTCTAGCACCTCGGGTTCCTCGCGGGCCAGGGCGAGAGCGCGAGGATCAATGCCGATAGGCGACGAGTGTACGTTGACGAAGCGGTTCTCAAGTTGGACACCGTCCTCAGTAGCCTCGACGGAGAGAATTCGACTGCACGTCTGCAGGAAGTGGTGGGAATACTCTGGTGTCTGGAAAGCGACTAGGTTCGCCCCAAGCATGCCGTTGAGCAGCTCCTTCCGCGCGGCCAAGCAGCGGAAGACCTCGGAGGAGGGGAACGCAGTGTGGAGGAAGAAGCCGATCTGTGCATCTGGAAGCTTCTCGCGGATCATCTGTGGGACCAGGCACAGGTGGTAGTCGTGGATCCAGATGACGTCCCCGCGCTTGTAGTTCTTGACGACCTTGTCGGCAAAGGCCTGGTTGACCTTGACGTAGAAGACCCATGAGTGGTCGAGGAAAGCCTTGCTCTTGGGGTGGTCGGGGATGATGTAGTGGAAGACTGGCCACAGGATGGTCTTGCAGTAGTGTGCATAGTGGCCATCGAAGTCCTTATCGCTGACGAAGACGGTGAGCGCGTCCTGCTCCTCCTCGAGCTTCTCGTAGATCTCCGTCTTCTTCTCCTCGTTCAAGCTGTCTGTGGGGAATCCGATCAAGCCGACAGTGATGGTGTCACTAATACATTTGTTGTCCACGGCACAGCGCAGCGCGTTGGTCAGGCCGCCGTTGCCCTGGACAGCTGGCACGACGGAGTACTCGGTGGCCCACCGCGGGTCCGTCGTAGGCTTACCGGCGTGAGAGCCCTTCATGCGCTCCTTCTGGGCCTGCGCCCGCTCCTGCGCCTTTGCGTATTCGAGGATGGTGTCGGGAGGCGCTGGCTCGGCCCTGGACATGGGCTGGTTGAAGAAGAGACCGGTAGTACCCCATTCGGGGACATGGGCATCGCTACGTACCAGGCCCCGGGGGTCTGCTGGCTTGGGGAAGTGCGTGGCCGCGCTGGGCTGGCCGGGCGTGAAGAAGTCCTCATGCTCCGTCATACGCATGGGCGTCTTGGGCAGCTGGATGTGTGTCGGCGGCGCCCGCTTAAGGAGGCTCGGGGTCTGCTCCTCAGCTGCATTCTTGCTGACGGGCCGCGATTTGGCTATGCTAGTAGCGGAGGACTCGCGGGCGGTCTCGCTCAGCTTCGGGGGAGCGGCGTCTGGCGGGCTTGGGGGGTTGGACTTGGACTCGTGGAAGTCGACGGTATACGGGAGGAAACTAGCGCTGTTAAAGGGCGAACGCGGTGCAGATTGGAATCATAGTGCGCTATCTACAGGTTGATTCAGGCTGACAAGTGAAAAGCGGTACCTACAGGGAGACGACGTGGGTGGTCATGTTGGGCAGCAGTCTGGCGTGGGCGCCCGCTGGTCAGAGATTGAGGTTGTAGAAATGGTGGAGAAATGGCAATCAGATATAGGCGGGAGAAGCGGGTCCTGCGCAATGGCTTGGGGCAGACGAGGTGAAGTTATAGAGGCGGTGGGCGCGCGCAGTGAAATTTCCGGCAGCTTCGATCGATCGTGATGAAGCAGGTAGTAGGGAAGCCACGCCTTTAGTTACGCGTGTCAGTCGGGTCCCAAGCAAGAAAGTGCTGCCGGCGTGCTGGGCTGGGGGTTGGGCAAATTCAGGATATCTGGCTGCTGTTCCTGGATGAGGCGTGCGGCTTACGGCAAGGGGCGTACTTGATACTTTCGTGTCCATGGCCGCAAATTGCAAGATTTCAGCCCCGCGGTATGACGTACGGCCACACCGGCACGCACAGCGCGTTTGGTGGGCCTCTCCACCGTCGCACTGCAATCAGCGAAGGCCTTGACTCGACGACGGTCATCTTTACGCAAGTTGCACGGAAGACCGTCGTCAGACTGTGCCGGCGCCTGCTCTGCTAACCTGACAGCTGCGGGAGCTTCCCCATTTAGTCGCGCATCACTGTGCCCCGCCCGCCAATTAGACACACGCCGGCTCGTGCAACCGTTGGGGCCATGGACCATAGCCTGCCTCCGTCCTGCGCGCTGAATCTCCCGAAGCCAGTCGCCGTCTGTGCAGCCCGCGCAGTTTGCAACCTTCACGTAAAGGCTCCCATCTCGATGGGGGTTGGTGGGAAAGTGTTGAGAGCGACTCCAAGGCTAGTGCGCCGTCATGGCATTTCAAAGAATCCGATAGTGCGCGCAGAATTCGATGTTGACCTGCAGCGTGGCCCTCCCGCGGCTCACTCCCCCCCACATGCTGCTATATTTTCCATGCATGCCGTCTGCAGAGACTTGACGAATCAGCCGTGCGGAACGCGCGCGTGGAATAGACGAGAAGATTGGAGAAATTGCGTGTATGCTGCAGGCCTTGAAGCTCTGACCGCATAGAGCGTCTCACGTATATATCGAGATATCATGCTATCTGGGACCGACACAAACTTCGCCTCACCCTGCCACGGCCTGTCTCGGCCGCGGTATATGCGCCAACATGATATTTCCTTGACAACCCGAACTTGTCGACTACACGAACACCTGAAGACCGCATCGCTAGCTCTTAGTTCATAGAGCCGAACGTGCATGCATCGTGTGAGGAACGTATCAAGCAAGAATCTTGACTCCAGTATGCAGGCTGCTTTGGGCTGACTATGACATACTGCATACAACCAGATCAAACCGCAACATATATACATATCAA